CGGGAGGAGAGGGTGGGCACAAGATGGCAGGAGCCCAGTGCGGACGTGGCACCCGAGATGTCCACCCCACAGCTGGGTTACATCACTGGTAGCATTTCCAGGCTGGGCCAGGCCCGGGTGACCGGTTCCCCACTCCCTCTCCCTCCACGGTTTCCCCATGTCTGTGTGCCGCGTGTCCTGTCGTCTGCTGTGTGTAAGCAGCCATAATTGTTTCAAAAACCGAACAGGATTTCCACGGTCCTGCGGGAGAAGCCGAGGTCACCTGCCCCAAGAGGAGGAAACTAGACCAGGCTGTGCCGCCACCTGCCCGGAGCTCCCAGTGGGCTCAGGCGATCCTCCCGCCTGGACCTCCAAAGCGCCGGGATCACAGGCAGGAGCCACCTCTCCCTGGGGCTGGTCGCTTCCCCAAGTCAGAAGGCAGAAAGGGAAGCCTCTTCACCACCGGCATCCCCGCTGCTCGGTGATGTGACCCCGTGCTGCCCCCGCCATGGGTGTGCCCGACAAAGTCACCTCGGGGTCACCAAGGGACGGCGCTGAGCTTCCCTGAAGCCGAGAGTGGCCAAGGACATAGGAGCCTCTGTCGCTTCCTGGGGACACTGTGGACACCGCCTGCACACTATGACTGGATCATCTTGTGAACGTGAAACTCAGCACCCTGCCCCTGCTCTGCCATCGGACAAGCCCGGGTTTGCATCCTCACGTACTGACTTCCCCACTGTGCGGCCTTGGCCGGTTAACAGAGCTCCCTGGCCCCGCTTCCTCCTCCTGTAAAATGGGTCGTTGGGAGAATGACATGACGCATGTCCTGAGCCCAGCAGTAAACATTCAGCAGTGGTAGTCACCCCTGTTAGTTATAGTGGTTGTTAATGACATTGAACACGGGCTTTCCCCCAGGAATGAGGGGAGCTGTCTCAGCTGCTTATATACATCGGGAGGTTGAAACAATAACACCTTCAGGGGCCAGGCGAGTAGTGAGGGTGGGCACAGTCGGTGTGAGACTATACGGACTACTGGGCAGTGTGGCAGGCTGGAGCACACATGTACTGTTTAATGCTATTTAAAGACAGATTTTTAAAATCCACTATACTTGTTGAATAAGGTGGGCGAAAAAACCCACTACACAAACACAAGCACACACACATATATGTTTATCTGTGGACACACACTGGTCGGGGCTCCTGAGTTGTATGGAAACCCAGTGGTGCAAGTTGACATTTTATTAACTTAGCAGATATTTGTGGACGTGCCGGGCGCTGTGCGAATACAGCCGTGAGCAAAGCAGGCTGAGCCCCTGCCCCCGTGTGTCTGTTCTGGCAAAGGCTGCAAGCAACATGCAAATATGTGAAACCGAACTGACATTTATGTCTGAGGACAGTAGCCCTGTGGGGAGACCAGAAACAGGGAAGCAGCGTGGACAGCACTGGGGGGGTGGGGACGGCCTCTCGGAGAAGGTGAGGTCTGGTCAATAACCCATAGGTGAGGGGAGCCCCGTGATCTGAGGAGCAAGGACCTCCCGGGCAGGGCCACAGCCATGGCCAAGGCCAAGGCCGGGAGATGGGCGTGTAACAGCATGACCATGGTGGCCTGGCTGCTGGTAAAAACCCAAGGTGGGAGGAGCTGACTGGTGGGCCGAGGGCCTGCCTGGGATCCCCAGGGGCCAGCGCCCCAAGAACAGCCCAAGGCTGGTGGGGCCCCCGAGACTGGGCCAGCTCCTTCCTCCAGCCCCTCCAGAGGGAGGTATCCCTTCTGGTGGGAACTCGCTCATTACCCACCAGCACAGCTGGGACCCCTGAGAACTTCTCAGGAGGTGTGTGGCCTCCCTGTGAGATGTCCTCACAGTTCTGGGGCCTGACGATGCCTGTTCAGTTCCTAACCCAAAGCCAGTTCTTTCTTCCACTTGCCATGGCGACCTTGGCCAGGAGGCTCAGGAAGCACACCTGGTTCAGGGGGTCCTTATAAACCAGCCCCCCCACGGGACTCGCAAGGGCAGACTTGTTTCCTTCTGCCGTAAGCGAATTCTGAGCACCCCTTCTATGTCCCTCAGAGGGGCAGCCGGCGACACCCACGGCTCTCGGACCAGATAGCCGCACACCCACGAACCGGCAATCTAGGTTGTTTCAGGAAATAAAAGGTGTCACAGCAATAAGCCTGGGGTGAGGGGGAGCCCTCAGCTGGAACGGTCAACTGGGTGATCTGAGTGGTGGGCTTTGCCAAAGTCTCAGGAAGAGAAGCCCAGACAGAGGCAGCAGCAAATGCAAAGGTCCTGGGGCCTAAGTGAGGTTGGAGCATCTGAGAAATAGCGAGGAAGCCTGGCTGGGAGGGTGGGAGGGGGGGAGGCCGCGATGTCTTTAAGGCCTTTTAAGGAACTTGGGTTTCACTCTGCATGCAGTGGGAAACTACCGGGTGGTTTTAAGCAGCGAAGAGATGCCATTCGTGTTTGCCTCAGGGAAGCTCTGGTTCTGTCTTTTCCCCTATTTGGATGAAAGAGCCTTCTAAATCTTGGTTCCTCCTTAGCCCTTGGGGCGAAGGCTGAGGTGGGTCTGTCACATTGTCTCTGAGGGTGGCTGGGTGGTGGTGACCAGCTCCAGGGCAAGAGCCTAAAACACCTGGTCACACACCCCCCTTGAGGGACCCTACTGCCGTCCTAGCAGATTCCCCACAAGCCGGGCGGCTTCCAGCGATAGAAATGTACTCTCTCACGGTTCTGGGGGTCAGAAGTCCCAAGTCGAGACATGGGCAGGGCTGTGCTCCCCCAGAAGGCTCCAAGGGAGAATCCTTCCTGCCCTCCAGCTCCTGTGGGTTCCAGGAGGTCTCTGGCATGTATGTGCACCCTCCAGGCTCAGCTTCCATCATCACACGGCCTTCCTTCCGTGTCTGTGTCTCCTCCACTTCTGTGCCCATGTGGATACTTGTCGTTGGACTTGCGGCCCTCCTGGGTAATCCAGAATGAGCTCACCTCAAGATCCTCAACTTAGTTACTGCAAAGACCTTCTTTCCAAAAAGGCCACACTCACACATTCGTAGGTTCCAGAAGTTAGGACATGGTCATATGGGGGGCGGGGGGAGGGTGGCCACCATTCAATACACTATACACCTTAAGAACTGCAAGAGGCCAGGCTCAGTGGCTCGGCCTGTAATCCCAGCACTTTGGGAGGCCAAGACAAGTGGATTGCCTGAGCCTGTGGGCTTGAGACCAGCCCGGGCAACTTGGCGAGACCTCATCTTTACAATAAAATAAAAGTTAGCTGGGCATAGTAGTGCACGCCTGTAATTCCAGCTACTTGGAAGGCTGAGGTGGAAGGATTGCCTGAGCCCAGCAGGTTGAGGCTGTGGTGGCTGTG